CTTGTGACTGAAGTAGTAGTCTTAATCCCTCAGGTAAATTATGGCATAGACTTTACCTTCAGGATTAAAAGTACTACTTCAGTCCCGCGGTATATAATATACTATTTGTGATGTGGACAAAATGGGATTCTGGGTGACGTCATTCGCGTATTTAAACACTGAACGTTTATTGGCTGAAAGTTACGAGACAACCTACTTTCTCTATTAACCTTGGCCATTTGTAACTTGCGTCACCTGTCACAGCCACTTGTCACTTGTCATTCATTCACTTTCGCGTTAGATGCAGTTAAACATGCCTCTTAAAACGTCAAATCCGACAAACGTCAGACCCTCACACAAGATTGCCGGCTCACTTCTACGTGATTGGTTGTAGGTTTGTGACGTATTTAGACTGAAACGTTTCAAATTCGGAGTAAAAACACAGCTTTTCAATAATTTATTTTGGGTTTATTTTACTCGCAAATAAAATGCAGCTACCGAATGAGCTCATATTGGAAAACGAAGAGACTACTGTATTCTCCTATCTCAACGAAGTTCAGTCACCACGTAAAAATCTAACATCGAAATTATATTAAATTTGGAAGCTGACGAAACAAAACAAAATTAACAAAAAATTACGGACGCCCACATCCATATGTCATTTTTCCTTTATTGGACCGCGCCCAATTGAATAAGGAAAATTGATCTAGAACGTCTTGGAAACGAATTCAATTACACTGCATTACCTAAACTAATTCGGGACTACCAACACCTTGAAATTCCTAAGATCTTTTGAGGAGAAAATTGACAATAAAATAACATTAAAAACGTATTCATACATCAGTTTGATTTTTCGCGGCTATCGCCCAATAGTTCGTTTCACTTTTACACATGACAAGTGTTGTAATTCGGTTGGTTGAATTCCACAGATGATTTGAACTGCGGGTTCAAAAAGTTGAACCGCAGGTTGAAAGTAACTATACACTTTATCCATAATTCAAGTACTATGACATCCGTTTCAATCAGTTCGTACTAATAATAGTAGGTACGTATTAATCAGTATAATCAATCTTAAAATTAAGTAGGCACCTCAACCAGTTTATTTTTCAAGTGCATTTTACCTATTTTTAGAAAGGATAGGCATAGACAAGTAGGTCATGCAAGTTGTAATGTAGTCTCGAGTACTTTCCTATAAGCGTAGGTACCCGTTGGTTAATTAAGGAAGCTCGTCGGAACTCATCTCTGATAACGAAAACAGACCTGAAACGAATTATGCACTGAAAAGAGAAAATTTTTCTTCTCTTTACGTTACGAAATACTTAGGTACCTACCTAGTAGGTTAGTAGTTAGACCTGTGATTGGAGTATACCGTGTGTCCTATTTTGGTTGAGACTGCAGTGTATCTCAGCTCAACTTTCAATACCACATACAGAATCAATATAGCTACGTTTGTTTCTGAGATACAGGGCGAAACGAAAAGTTTAATTCTTTGGGACGTTAAATCTTACTACTCCTGGAAGACAGAAAAAAGGTAAAAACTCCCTATTTTATTTATTTTTATTTATTTTTGCCTTTATTTTTAAGTGGGCGGGGTTTCAGCCGAGGCTGCTCTACCAACCCAACCCACTATACATTTACAAATATCCATGCCCGAACCCGGATTCGAACCAGGAACCCTGTACCGCAGTCGAGCTTCCACTGAACTGCGCTACACGGGCCGGCTTTTAGATATTTGTGTACGTAGAATTCAGTGGCGTAGTTAAAAGAATTTTTGGAACACCGTTTCTGAGATTTGACCCAATGTTACTATTTGTTAAATGCAACACCATGTGTATCTTAACGTCATTTTTTTGCATTCTTTTTCCTGATCAGATTGATGCATCACATAAGCTATAACCTAATTTTTTGCGGTCTTTAAATAGTAGGCCATGGATTCATGGATATTTTGTTTTGTTTATTGTATCCATAGTAACTAAGGCAGCCGACACCAATCAATAAAAATGACTAACCGTAGAAGTGTTATTTTAAAAATTTGAAAAACCATAGCTTCCTCCTCGACTCCTTATCGTGATCGGATATGAATCATTCCTTATATCAAGAACAGATTGCCGGAGGATGGTATTCACAAAGGGCGATTTGTACGTCTAGAAGAAATATAACTATTGGTGATGTCAAAACTTTACGAGCGAATATCTCGAAAACGCCTTGTCCAATGCAAAGATCCACAAAGGCAAAATGAATTGTCTGGACGAGACATGTCTACTGGTGAAATCTTACCACAAGAAAGAAAATATCGATATAATAGAGCATGCTACTTATAACGCAACCATTTACTAAGCTATTTCGGTTTAAAAAATGCGCTTCACGTACACAAGAGTTGTGCCCAGTTTATACTTGTTTTCTCTATCAAGTGACGTAAAAATCCAATATGGCGGTGTGTTAAAATATTCTATATATTCTATGTAACAATTGAGAATGATGTAGGTATACCCAGTATAATAGGAAATAATCAAAACTATGAAAATGTTCATATAATACCATACATAAAAATGTAGGTATAATAGGTATGCATAAGGAATTTCAATTTGACGTACCTACAATATTAGGTTATTACCCAATTTTTTTTTCTGAAATCGTTATTTGGTGAAGCGGAACCATTCATGAATTTGTATATGAGGTTGTTATACAAAATTGTTTTTTATCGATTTTCGTTGCAAACAAATGAAATCTCGACCATGCTTATGTGAATCATACGTTTGTAAAATTTTGATTTCTTACTTTCTGATATTTACGTTCTATATACAGGGTGAATAAAAAGTAAGGGACATTGATGCTGGAGCCGTTACAATTGGTCATATCAAAAAAAGTTGTTAATAAAATTTGAATGATTAAAGATTTGCCACAATCTGACTGTTTTTAATTTTTGTTCTGACGGCATAGTTTCAGAATGTGATGTCATCGCAAAATAGTTATTTATGCATCAAGGGCATTAAGGCGATATTTATGCCGAGGGCGACAGAGCCCGAGGGCCTCCGGCCCGAGGGATTGTAAGTCGCCCGAGGGTTAAATATTGATTAATGCCTGAGGTGCATACAACATTTTATTTTTCATCGTTCCAAGGAATGCATTTCCAATATACAAATATCATGATTATTGTTTGCCCAACATTAAAGTGCTTCATACGAATCAAGTTGCATCTTTTTTATTACATAATATAACTCCGTCAATCAATTTGACAGGCCATTTGAGGGCATAATGAGATGACAATCCATTATGCCCTCTCATTATGCCCTTGGCGTAATAGACTGCTTCATATATCACATATGACAGATATAATTGACATATAATAGGCAAATGAAAAATAAAATTTTAAATCTTCTTTTATAGCTTTTGGTCCGATTGATTTCAAGTTAGTGTCGTCGGCAAGATCTTGTAAACGTGCACAACTTTTGTTTTTTCCTAGGGGCGAAATTAACCACCTTTCGCAAGGCGCGCTTCGAGGGATAGTTAGACTTCGAGCGTCCAAAAGTTTTTCAAAGTTCGAACCTCTTTTTCGTGTCTCGAGCTATGAAAAGTGCTCCAAAAATTGAGTACTATTTTGTGGAGGATTTTTCCTCTAAAGTGCGAACTACGCATGAACGGGACTTCCGAAGTGGGTACCGACAAAGGGAATGTGGTTGCCCTCGATAGGATCTTACTGATGATGGAGTCAAAACTGGCTAATAAAATACTGATCTGACACACAAAAATGCGCTGAAGTCCCTTCGATCTCAGACGAGGACTTATAATAATTAATAATAATTAATTAATTTTTATCATTTCCTTTATTTCAGAGTTCCTTATTCGAGCCCTCGTTGTGGAATGACAAAATGCAACGTAGTTACCTACTTTTCTAGTACCATACATTGGATTATTTTCTTATCCTCTTAATTACCCCGCCGGAAGGGAAATACACTTTACGAAATGGGAGCGAGGCAAGCTAAAATGTATTAAAAAGACCGATTCATGAAAATGAAATTCTGAAACGTCTAAAAAAAATCTGGTTACACTATGAAACTTTGACTCTGACCTTCAAACGACAGCTAGGTAAAGAACTACTACGCAAAGAATATTAACCACGCCGCAGACCACAATAAGGCAAACTGCGAAGCTATAAATTAAGGAAAATTATCCCGTTTTCACAAATTCTTTACAAAAAAATGTAGCAACACTCGAAATGGTTATCTATTATATTAGTGTACTTGGTGGTGAATGAAACCGCAAAAGGTCTCGCACATTACTCTAAGTTTCTATCTGTAGGTCCACGGTTTCCAGGTATGTCTGACTTATTCGCCAACAGGAAATGCGTTCTGCAGGTGGTCATGTACTTCAGATATGGAACGTTATCTGCGGAAAGCGGTCAGAGGGCTGCTAACCCTTTTTAATCAAATCTTACTAACCCACCGGTTGATGTTAACGAGTTTTGCGAAAAAATGGAAACGTTTCTATGTGCCAATAGGGCAGAAATTTTATTTCTCCGTCACAAAATGTCGCATAATCAAGTTGATCGATAAAAAAATTAATCGCAGCAAAACATATTAGTTATTAGCTGTTAGTTACGGATAGTTCGCTAGTTTAGTCCCCAATTAGTGTATTAGGTCATAGGTGGTACACAAACCATAGCTTACGATTATGTAAACCCACTACATGCTGTTGGGAATAACCTGACCCGCTGGGCATTTGATCGGAACAAAATGAAAATTTAGGTGCTTCCAGTTTGTAGACAGCCGCGTTAGTGTAGATGTTTAGGGTTTTGATTTAATCGAGGGAATTTGTGGGATATGTTAACGCAATTAGGGCGGAAGCTGCGTAATTGGCAAATGACAAGACACAAAGTGATGTATAAATAATTGGCAACTAATTCCAACGCATGAAAAATTTAATGGAGGTATTTACATCTGCTGTGAATAAAGCCGTGTTAAACCACCTTTAATTAATATTCCAAAGTGCATCATTAACATTCATGCATCTTCCTTTCGCAGGCGGCGGAAAGCGGAAACTTAGAAACATTTCAACGGCTTTATTTCGCCGACCCAGCCCGATTGGTGATTAGGGATCCACGTGGCCGGACAGCAGCTCATCAAGCGGCGTTTAAAAATAGAACTAACATTCTGCAGTTTATATCTGCTCATGGTGGAGGTAAGTTACACAATCCTTCTAAAAAATTTATGAAATAGTTTTATTTATAAGCTACACTTGAATGTTTGCGGCCAATTGTAATGATATGTACAAAAGGTTTACGTGGAGATTTAAAAGACAAATAAAACGATTTCATTGCGACCGCAAATTTTACATACAAGATTCTGATCGAGAATTTCAATTGTAAATAGTACAAGGTAAGCGTCTTTTGCTGACACCGATGGAATGATTGAAAATTTGTTGTAAAGTTTGTCGTTCCATTTTTCTTGTCTTAAAGTTCTGGAGAAATTATTGATGAAAGCACAAGACAAACATAGGAAGTGCAAGAAGCAACTCTTCTCGAAGAGATCAATATAATAGAACTTGGCCAGAAAGATTCCGTTAATACGCTTACACTTCGTAAACTAATTACAATTAAATCAAGAAGAATGAATAAATTAAATCAAATTTTTCAGAAATTAAAATTCTTCGGAAATTTGACAGAATTAGAATCTTCCTACCGTCGCAAAATTAAAGTTGTACAAAAGTAGTTGCAGATTATACAAAAATTCTTTGGTGTAGGTTCCAATGAATTAGAAGGAGCGAACATTTTTAGATACATATAGTCTTGCTAAAAACGGAAATGGACTAGTGATTGACCAATAACGCGATACTCACATAGTATGGGCAAAAAAAACTTTAGAAGGTAATAAAGAGAAAAGCCTGGTAAATCTATGCTAATTATGTAACCAAAATCTTTGGAGAGACTCAAAGCTCGTAGAGAGAAAAAACAATTATAAAAGGAAAAATTCACCTACGAAATATTCTCCCAAAAAATTTTCCTCTGGAATATTCTGTTGCAAAAACACGGTCCACAAGGTGTACTCTCGGAATATTCCTCTCAACAAATTTGTCCCGGACAATTTCGTTCCAATCAAATCCGCCTCTGGAAGATTTGCGTTAGGAATATTTCGCCCCGAAAAATTTGCGGTCCGAAGATGTGACTTCCAAAGATTCGTTTCCGAAATAATCGGCTGGTAATTGCGCCCCCCGAGATATTCGCTTCCGAGAAAAAATGGCTAAATGGCTTTTAACTGGTGGAAAAAATCCGCAATGGCGCCAGTGAGACGTCGAAAGCAAATCACTAGAGAAAAATTTCTCCAAAAATATCACACGGCTATTAAAACCCTTACGTAACGACGAAAATGTCACTAAAGTTGGCAGCGTGTTCTTTACAAGTCCCGATTGAAGCTGTTTTTCAGTACAGAACCACAAAAAATACATCTGCACGTCCTCTAACGGTAAAATAAAGAACTATGTAAAAAAAACTCTACCAAAAAAGCTAACTACCAACTAGCTTACACGAGAAATAGGCACATGGCACATGGTAAAGTGTATTACTTAAACGTAATATTTAAAAATTTAATAGTGTTAAAGAAAGAACGTTACAGTTTCCCTGACACAATTGGTGAATAATTGACAATTTGCTCAAGTTCGGGCAATAATCAGAAGTTATTAGGAAGGAAACGTTTCTGGCTGCTCTAGGGGATCTGTCTATTAAGAGCTTTTTACGGCCCTTCAGTGTCGAAATCTCGGATGGACCAACTGAGGAAAAAAGGCTCGTAGTGGCGCATTTTATTTATTGAAAAATGCGCTAAAATGTGCACAAATTAAAATTTTTACCCCTCTTTTTGAGGAAAGGTGTAGGTGAGACATATCATATCTTACGAGAGCTGGAGTGGCATTCATGGCTGGTGTTGTTTCTGGTAGAGAAATTTTCTTGGAAGCCAAGATACCGCAGACAAATTTTCTGAGGATAAGTGTTGTGGGAGCAAATACACCTTAGGCAAGTTTTTTCAATATTCCCCGCTTGAATCTTCCGGAGGTGAATCTTTCTGAAGGTAAGTTTTCTTGAGAGTGGGGCGAAATTTCTGGGACGCATATTTACCGCTCACGGTTTCAATAAGGAGTGCAATGGATCAGACGGGATGCGAACGCTTTAGTAAATGTAGAATTCCGTACGAGTATATAAAAGTTAACACCCTCAAGAACCCTTCTCAGATACCTACACTCGCGAAGCTGGTTTTCATGCATGTTAGGTAGGGGATCCACGTAGTAATACGGTTGTCGAAGGATCAGTCTCTTTTGTTACTTTGAACGTGGAATATATTATATTTCGTCGTTTTAATTAACACATTGAGTTTCATTCACCATCAGGTGAAGTCCCAATGGGAGTTTCAGACTAAATGACAAAAACTCACAATTTTCGAGCGTATGGTGTGGAGGCGATTTAGAACTTTGTATGACTTAAGTCAATATATGAAGCTTGAAAGACAAGGGAAGCGTCATTTATTTGCGTGGTGGTGTCTGATGTTCACCTATCATAAGATTTGAATATCTTTTCATCTTTTAGACCTGAACATCCAAGACAATGTCGGAAACACACCCCTACATGTTGCCGTTGAAGCCGCATCCTTAGACGCAGTCGACTATTTATTAGAGGTGTAAGTACTCGCAATCTCACTTTTTCCTCACACCATCCGTTTGAACATATGTTCCATTAAACTTTATCAGCCGATTATCGTTTTACAATTCGTTTAATATACTTCCTCGCGAATTAGAGGAGTGAACACATCAATCCTAAATGAGAAAAAACAAGCGCCAATTCACTTGGTCACCGAGTTAAATAAGGTGAGCGTGTTGGAGGTGATGATGGCCAGGCACAAGAATAAAATCGATATTCAACAAGGCGGAGAACACGGACGTACTGCTTTGCATCTGGCGGCGATATACGATCACGAGGAATGCGCAAGGATACTGGTTTGTAGTCGTCGAGTTGCCACAGATAATCTTAGTCTCGTTTTCAGATCACCGAATTTGGTGCTTGTCCAAGACAGCCTTGCAATAACGGGTACTACCCAATCCACGAGGCCGCGAAGAATGCTTCGTCCAAGACGCTAGAGGTCTTCCTGCAATGGGGCGAATCGAACGGTTGCTCTCGAGAGGAGATGATCTCCTTTTACGACGCGGAGGGTAACGTTCCCCTACATTCTGCCGTCCATGGTGGCGATTTGAAGGCGGTGGAGCTGTGTATAAGATCGGGAGCTAAAATATCTATGCAGCAACACGATCTGTCAACTCCCGTACATTTGGCGTGCTCTCAAGGTGCAACCGAAATAGTGAAGATCATGTTCAAGCTACAACCCGAAGAGAAATTCCAATGTCTCCAGTCGTGCGATGTGCAGAAGATGACACCCTTGCACTGCGCAGCCATGTTCGACCATCCCGACATTGTGGAGTACTTAATATCTGAGGGCGCGGAGATTAACGCGCTTGACAAAGAGAAAAGATCACCGTTACTGCTGGGTGCGTCCAGAGGCGGCTGGAAAACTGTGCACACTTTGATCAGATTAGGGGCAGATATTAACGTTAAAGACATAAACCGAAGGAACATCCTGCATTTAGTTGTAATGAACGGTGGAAGGCTGGAGCAGTTTGCTAACGAAGTGAAGAAGGTGAGTTACCTTCGTCGGTATTATCGGCGCTTTACTATGCTGTTACAGTCCAAGTACCAGGGTAATTTGGTGCAGCTCTTAAATGAAAAGGATAACTCGGGATGCTCGCCGCTTCATTACGCGAGTCGGGAAGGGCACATACGCAGCTTAGAAAATTTAATTCAGTTGGGGGCGGTTATTAATTTAAAAAATAACAACAACGAGAGTCCCTTACACTTTGCTGCCAGGTCAGTACTTATTTTCGCCATTACTTTTACAACAGCAAAACAATTTTTCAGGTATGGCAGGTACAATACAGTAAAACAGTTGCTCGACTCGGAAAAGGGGACGTTCATTATTAATGAAAGCGACGGAGGCGGAATGACCCCTTTACATATCGCTTCACAGCAGGGGCATACGAGAGTTGTGCAATTGTTGCTTAACCGAGGGGCCTTGCTTCATAGGGACCACAATGGGAGAACACCTCTGCACTTGGCGGCGATGCATGGGTATACCCTGACGATCGAATTGCTGTTGTCAATACATTCACATTTATTGGACCAGACCGACAAAGATGGGGTGAGTATATTTTCAAATGTTATTGGTAAACTTTTAACCCAATGGGATCATCTAAAATTTTGTTTATTGATCAATCTTGTATTTTTCTGCCAATCAATTAAACGCGTGTCCATTTTAATGATTGGTATTTCATTCAATGCGTACCTACCCTTTAAAGTGCACTAGACCTTGGGGGTCGTAACACCGGAAGGGTTCGCTGCAAATTAGAAATTGTATTGATGTAACAAGTTAGTCAGAACTCGAGTAGTTTTAAGAAGCGTCAAGGAACCTGTAAATTGACCTGGTAAGAGACAAACTCCTTCGCACGGCACTGCAACAGGGACCACTGCACCAGCTGCCAGACGTTTTGGATTCGCTGGCAAAGGTAAGACTGGCAGTGGCAGTTTCCACGCTATAGGAGCAATGGTGGTCATACGCTATGATGCAGCGGTAGTACTCAGAGGAGATCGTCTTCCCTACAGAAGCTGAGGCAGACTTAGTTTTTATGCGGATGCACGATCTTTTATAATCCCTTTCTGTGGTAGGATATGTCAGTGTCAGCTGATCGAATTTTTACAAAAGCGGCAATGTGGGATCGATCGTTGCATGGACTTTGTGGCGTTGCCCCAGTACCCCCTCCCTTTTCAGTGACGGAGCCGCAAAATCGTGTCATTTGCTGTGGTGTTGATGGATGGGGATGTGATCTATGCCCTATGGTGCTGGGTTGGGGAGTTGGGTGCTGAATTGCTTGGTTGACGTAGTAAACCTGCACCGTTTGAGTAATGTTGGCGATGGCGTCCTCAGCTCGGCTGTAACGTCCAGGTTGGGTCTCTGTTGCCTGTTGTGTGGCGAGGTGACTTGGATGTTTGTTGGCAACCGATTGGACCAAATGAATCGCTGTTGTACCACCTAAGTTCTAGAAATGTCGACGGAACTGTAATGGCTTATGAACTTTCAATTGAAAAGGTATGCGTTTGTGCTGTGCTGTATTCCAGGGAGAGCCTGAGTTTCTTGAAATGTTTCCGGAGCTCCGTCGGCTCAGTATTTTGTTGCTGGTGCTTGTACTTGCTCCTTCTTAGTTCGCGGCCCCTACCGTTGATTCGTTGATATCTGCCATCTTGATTTCGGTGTTGACGTTTCGCCATCGACATATAGAGATGGACTGCACGTGCCAATACTGAGCGCGGATACTGCTTGTAAGAGAGAAGAGAAAACTAAAAGGCAAGCTCTCTCTATCGCGTTTCTGTTGGTCGCATTAAATCGACATTGATGTGGCGGCGCTTGTATTTCGCATGTCGATGGTATGATAGAGACCGCTTACCTTTTTATTTTCCCTTCTCTCTCACCTGCAGTATTTGCGCTTAGTATTGGCACGCGCAGTCGATGCGTTTAATTCACGTTTTTGACGTTTCACTTGTGGTTGCGCCGGTGCTCGCATTCACTCTATTTGCAGTGACGAGTGAGGGGCCTCAGGTCGTTATGATATTTCGACGTTATAGGAGCAGTAGTGTTCCTACGTTATGAAACGGCGGTAGTATCCAGAGGAGATCTTCGCTATAGAAGTTGAAGCAGACTTTTTATGCTCTTGCACGCTCTTTTATACCCCTTTCTGTGGTGGGGTATGTCACTCTCAGCTGATCGAATTTTTACATCGCAGTTAGCGGCAGTATTGTATCGTTGGTGACTAGTTTTACTTTTTACATTTACTCCATACGCAGGTGGTCGACACAAATATACAAAGAGAGCCACTTTGATTTGTTGAATTAAAGGACAAAATTTCTTTCTTATGTCTATTTATCACACACTTGAAACTTTTGTTGAAAAATTAACGTTCTAAAACGGTTCCATTATGCACTACAAAAATCTACGTAACTTTCTTTAGTAAACGGACAAACCACGTTAAGCTTTGAACGAACTCTAACTTAATTGCATCTGCACAGAATATCCTGATTGCGGCGAAACTGTGTCTTCAAATTACAAAAAAAGCCAATTACCTACCTGACAAAATTAGCGTACAAAAAGGTACCCGCTCTTTTCCCGTCGCGAGGTGAACAAGCTCCGTTTTTTTCTTTAATTTCGTATTTGTCACCACTTCCACTGACCCATCATACTCATACTTCCGCCAATTTCAACTGCAACACCAATAAGGAGCGCTTGAGTCTACGACGTCTTGAGATCTGCGCATGCGCCAAGTTCAAGATCATTCGATTCTGTTTTGTTTCTCGACTGAATCAGGTTGGTTGAGCAGAAACGAATATGTATCAGAAACAGGTCAGTTAAATAGAAACAGATATGTTCCTTAAAATCAGATCTTTTCTGTAGAAACAGCTCTTTTCAGTGGAATTGTTTCTGATAAAAAGACCTGTTTCCGTCGGCAAACAGGACCGAATTGAACGGTCTTGAATTTGGTGCGTAATGTGACTGCACCTCTGTGTATTCGCCTTAAAGCCAATAAACCATCGCGATAACAACGTTCTTATCGCACACGATCAGATAACACTTAAAGGTTCCCGACCAGATGTTCCTTAATATTAAACAACGCAATTTTTACTTCTTTTAAATAAACAGAATAATAAAAGTTAAACAAGAAATTATGAAATCAGAAGCAAATCTAAAATGGAAAAATAGGCACCAAAACAAGAAATTTCGATTAAATAGACCAATCCTACAGGTTTAAATTAAGTTAAAACATTCGGACATACAGCATGGCGCGTTATTATCTTCGATACTATTTCAGCCTAAATGACGTCGTTTACACAACAATAAATATCCGACTTGTAAACGGTAAATTAGAATGATAATAATAAAGGAACATTAGAAAGACGCCATATTGCAAACCTAAGCTATTTTTAAAAAATGACAAATTATGCATTTCAAATTTTATAAAGAAAAAAAAGATTCGTATGTGAGTATTGCATTGAACTATACAAGGTCATTCTTGATGAGCGTCAGTTAGAAAGATATGGAGAAGCTTTGAAAATGAAACTAAACTGATGTCCTTTAGGGGTTTTGGCACATGATTAATTGAACTAAAATATTTTCAAGATGGCGCCACTTCCGCAAATATCGGAAGTAGCCATCAATTTTGTTTTTTTAAATAGGGACCCCCTATTTTTTCTACATTTTCGGATTCTACGTCGTTTGGAGTACAACGATACCATAGTTGACACTTTGCTTCAAGGGCTTCGTCGATATTCAAGTTTTTATGTCAAAAATTGAATTTGCAGGGGTAATTTTAAAAATTTATTATTCGAAAACGGTGAGAGATATTGCAACACAGTTTTCACTGCTTTATTAAGGAAAGATCGAATTTTCTATGGTATGCGTAACCGTCTAAAAAAGTGAGACTACGTCACTTTTTTCAAAGCTTTCAACTTTTAAATTTTTAAATATTCGTAACACCATTTTTTCAAATGGCACCCCACATTTTTTCTTCACTGTTGTTTTCCTTTTTCCGAGGCCTTTAATTTGATAGAAAATGTCAAAGGATGATGATGTGCAATCCATTTTTGACGTGCTACTTCAATTTCAGTTTATAAAAAGAATTTCATTTCAATGCTTTTCTAAATAAGAAAGTTGGAACTGCGCATGCGCAAACCTAAACTTTGAAACTAATGTTTCCATTGTTCCAAGCGCCTAAGTATCAAATTTCATTTAAATGCTTCCATAGATAAAAAAGTTGACACTGCGCATGAGCAAAACCAAATTTTGAAACTGGCGTTAGATTTTCCTTTATTCTTAGTGCCTATGTATCAAATTTCGTTTAAATTCTTCCATAAATAAAAAAGTTGACACTGCGCATGCGCAAAACCAAATTTTGAAACTGGCGTTAGATTTTCCTTTATTCTTAGTGCCTATGTATCAAATTTCGTTTAAATTCTTCCATAAATAAAAAAGTTGGCCCTGCGCATGCGCAAAACCAAATTTTGAAATTGGCGTTGACAAGCTAGAGTCAAGGAGCAAGTGCTGTTATTTCGTGGGCTATGGTTATGGGACGGAAGAGAATCAGAAACGCTCTCCAGAAAACAAAATAAGCGTTGACCAACCAGCGGATTTGATGACGAAGGGATAACCACTCGTCACGTTTAAGAAGCATTGCTTGAACTTGGGCATTCAATAGTGATAAGCTTGAAGAGGAGTGTTGGGATCAAACTGATCGCTATTGTTTTTACGTGTATTTATTCATAAACTGCCCCACCTCGATATTGAGCTATCTTGACAGTTGATCGTTGAGTTAATAAATATATTGACTATTAAATTGCCATTGCACCATAACTTACTGTGTTTATGAAAAGATACATTATGTTTCTAATTTGTGAACTCTAAAGGGTATTCGAAGTTAGTGAAAAATAGTTCAACATTGGAGAGAATTCACCAAAATTAATAAAACCATCCGGAAGAACTTGTTTTTTTAGACACATCTAAGGGCTTAATTATACGATTACACGGAAGAGCTCTGTATCTACATTTACCTCACAAACTGAGGTATGAACAAATTTTAGTTTCGACTTGTTTCCTTCCAGGAAAAATATTATTAATTACATATTAATTTTCCAGAATACCGCTTTGCATCTAGCCACAATGGATAGCAAACCGACAGTAATCGCCCTCTTGTTATCCATGAAATGCAAGCTATTGTACAACAAGCATGGAATGAGCGCAGTGGACTACGCCATCCACTACAAGTACCCGGACGCAGCGTTGGCTATGGTAACGCACGAAGACAGGTAACCGCCAACTTTTCCAACGAAACCTTGGAGTTAACGCCTCGTTTCAGATCTGTAGAGGTCCTTGCACTCAAATCCGACAAACATCCGTGCGTCACTTTGGCTCTGATTGCCGCAATGCCTCGCGTTTTTGAAGCTGTTCAAGATAAGTGCATCACTAAGGCAAACTGCAAAAAGGATTCGAAGTCGTTTTACGTTAGTATTTCAAATACTGTTTGGTAGAAGGTATTTTGCGCTACCATTCGCCTTTTTTTGTGGAACTCTGTGATTTGCTGCACAATTCGAACCCATCGACTTGTTACACTGTACCACGGTACGCCCCCTGACATTTTAACGTCGCTTGCGCTGTCTCCCAATCCATGGCTTCAAGTCGATCTATGTAAAAATAATTAAAAATTTAAGGGACACTTTGCTACCTCCAATTAAATGGTAAATAATCCATTACGATGCATGCGGATTCAAATTTGTAGATCGGAGTTCGTGCATTGGTACTGTAGGCCAAATAGCCCTTTTGGCATTCTCGTTAGCGATGAACCGAATTGCATGAAATTCAAACTGGGCATAGCTTTAGCGATATAATGCGCAATGTCAAAAGTTGAGCCTGATCCATTCAACATTCACAGTACCTTTTTAGCGCATTTTTGCAAATTTACATTACAGACTGGAATATACAATACAGCGCTGGTCACGACGCCATTTTCTCCTATTATAATAATTAAAAATTTAAGGGACACTTTGCTACCTCCAATTAAATGATAAATAATTATGTTACGTTTTCCACGCTAGCTACCTATTTTAAAGTAACAATAAATCAAAATACCTTTGTTGGTAAATTAGTGGTTAAATCCCGATAAACAGAGATTAAAATTTACCGCCCGAAAATTGCGCAGCAAGTCACAGCACAACAAGTGCCGTTACAAGAACAGTCGATGGGATGCTCACAATACCTTCTAGTAATGTGAACAGCTCGCTTTTAACTAGCAATTTCAGATTAAGTACAGCTTCACCTGCTTGGAGTGTCCCGAATTCTACGCAAACATGGACGGGAAGACCGGAGAAGCTTTGAGCATTTCAAAACCAATTCCACTACCGGCCTTGAATGTAAGTACCATACAATGTTGTACGAGTGACACTAATGTTGCTCCAGGCAATGGTGAGCCATGGAAGAGTCGAACTCCTAGCGCACCCGCTCAGTCAGAAGTATCTGCAGATGAAATGGAATTCCTACGGGAAATACTTTCACATTGCAAATCTCCTATTCTACTCCATATTCCTGAGTTTCGTCACTTGCTTCACATCACAGCTGATGGCTCACGAGCACCCACCTGTCGATTTCTACCGCCAGTTTTACATGCCTGGAGGACACCACTTCCCACAGTCGACGATGTGGAAGGAAAAAATGAATAGAACCTACGACGTATGTAGAGAAACCTAGGGAAAGAGCAATGTTCCATTCTTATATTTCAGGAGTACTTGGCCAGTAGCAAGACCGACATACTGAAGGTGAAGGTAACCCCAATGATGTACATTAGCGCCATGGGTATAGTGGTGTACATCGGCCTAAGCTCGGTGCGCGAGCTTATACAGTTATACCAGCAGAAATTTCTGTACTTCATGGACCCGACGAACTTAGTCTCTTGGCTGCTGTACATTTCGGCGTCGATCATGGTGTTTCCGTTATTCGGCGGCACCATTACAGAACTACAGTTCTCATTCGGATCGGTATCGATATTTTTGAGTTGGCTAAACCTGCTGCTTCTACTGCAGCGGTTCGATCAGGTCGGCATCTACGTCGTCATGTTTTTGGAAATTCTGCAAACGCTGATAAAGGTGTTGATGGTGTTTTCAATTCTAATTATAGCCTTCGGACTTGCGTTTTACATACTGTTGTCAAGGGTAAGTGCTTCAAACTTTTAATGCGTGGGGATTTTGGATAATAATTGGTTACCCTCCGCATTAAACCTCTTCAAAAATATGACACACGCGAATTTTCATTTGCCTGTATCCAAAACTATATATTCAACTATTAATTTTGAAAGATGATTGCTCGTTGATATAAAATAGTGCGATCCTTATGGAAAAGATGGTGCACGAAAGCTGGACAATACCGAAACAAAAAATTAGATGTTGCAATTTTCTTGAATCTTCCTCGTTCAATTAGGTACTTTTTATTCTATGGAAATTATGTATCGGGCAACAAACTTTCTATTTATATCGACTGCACTAAAACTACGCCTTGAAGAACACGAGTTATTATTAGAACTCTTAAAAAGGCAAATCGAGTTCAAGGCTAAACCTCGAAGCTAATCAATTTTCACTTTTGAATTGTAACTTTTATTAATCAAAACGCCATAATTAGCTTCAGAACGGCAAGTGAAATTCTTTCTGCGTGTTATAATTTTATAACTTTATGCGATGGTTCTTTCCCAACACAAACTTGCACATATGCTTATTTGACGAAAAACAGTTTATTTCCACAGCTTTTTTCGTAATTCAGATACCTATAGCTTTTCTTGAATTTGGACTCATGAGCGGGTATTTTTTCTACTAATTTTTTTGCCCTACGCCGTTGTGTTACTTTCAGCTGCACAGTTGACGCTCCGTAGCTCAAAACCGAACAAATGAAAAAAAATCTCCCCGGAATAATCCCTACCTATTTTTTTATGAATTAATTAAGTGAACCTGTTTATTACTTTCTGTCAATTGAGGTTATTTTGGTAGTTTGATTTGCTCTTGCATATAAATAACTGACACGCACAAACGCTCCTGTGCTATCAAGTTTCGAAATCACTATTCAACAAACATGAAGGTTCTTTCACTTTTCTTTGAGCACGGAATCAGTACATATACAGGACTTAAGAAATAAAACGGAGCATGTATAGACGCTAAAGTTGCTAATTCATTCGTCATATAAAAGCTACTAGACCAAAATCCCTACCTTGTCTTTCTTCACCTTTGACATCATAATCATCCGACAATCCCATTGCAGGGAGAGCACCTTTCATTTCGCACAATCCCGATGTCGTTGATGCGCGCCTTCTCCATGATGCTCGGCGAGATCGACTTTCTCGGCACGTTCGTCGAACCCTACTATCTCAGAAAAGAGGATGGCAGAACCTTACCGTTTCCGATTCCGGCGTTTCTAATCCTCGGCGTGTTCATGGTACTAATGCCGATCCTCCTCATGAATTTGCTTATCGGTCTCGCGGTTGGCGATATCGAATCTGTTCGGCGAAACGCTCAACTGAAGCGTTTGGCAATGCAGGTAAGTAAGTCCACGGTTGTTCGGTCGCGATAGATGCATTGAGTAACTCTATAGGTGATATTGCACACCGAATTGGAGACCAAACTTCCCAAGATGCTATTAGAGAAGATCGACAAGAGCGAACTAATCGAGTTTCCCAACAATACAAAGTGCAAGTTGGGTTTCTTCGATTCGATAATTCGCAGATTTGGTAATCCGTTTTCCGACGATGGTAAGCGAAAACTTGGTATAGGTCATTACCTTATATATACTTCTTGGTGTCGTTAATTTGCTTACAAGTTATGAGGCTGTATTTTTGCTACAGCCCCAGTACTGATAGATACCTCTAAACTGACATTGATCAAACCAGATGCATTTGTAGCATGTTTTCTTTACAGGCAACAAAGAGTTGTATTTACCCAATCAAAAGAAAAAGCCAGGTGGTACTGGTAGGAGCATGATTTTAGTGTGTGTATACACTCGTGTCGTTTTGCATGTACTCGTCTGTGAAATGTAAGTGTAAGTGTACGAAACCATTACGCACCTTTCTCGTTTTTATATGAGTGAGCATCTGAGCAATGCACCAGTTGAGTAAGGAACCACAATAAGTCACTTTTCGTAAAATGTTAATATTTTCTTCTCAACTATGCACTGTACCATGCACCAGCGCAAAATTACTATAACTCATATCTCAAATTGTATTTGGATTCCCTTGGGCTTATGGTAAATGATCACAAGCTTCTTTCACTTACAATCAATCGTAAAACCACCAAGTTTCAAGTCTCTAGAACTCTATTCAAGGCAGACGAGCGGACACACTGGTGGACAAAAGTACGATTTTAAGAAGAGCTTGTAGGATTATATCTAAACTAGAATAAATATCTAGAAAATATTTAAACATACCCTAAATAAAACACCTAAACTCGGGCTCGATTTAACTCAACACTCCATGACCAGAAGCAAGAGGAATGTGCACGTCCGAACATTCCGACTTTTCCAACTGAATGGCAATAAACGTGTAAACAAATATAGAAAACCAGCTCCTATGTATGGCTATAGCATGTGCAAAACCAAATTTTGAACCTGGTGTTAGTGTTGCTTTTATTTAAAGTGTATATGTATGAAATTTCATTTAATTGCTTCCATAAATAAGAAAGTTGGGACTGCACATTATGCATAAAACCAAATTTTTTTTAGTCCAAGTGGTCAATTTCATTTAAATGTTTCCATAAATAAGAAATTTGGCACTGCGCATGCGCAGAACCAACTTTTGAAACGCGTTAAATTTGCTTTTATTCCAAGTGGCTATGTATGAAATTTCATTTAAATACCTTCATAAATAAGAAAGTTTGCAATTTGGTTTATAAATGGTCGAGATGCGAAAAGGGCAATGTGATTAGGATTAACTTTCGAGTTTCATATGGCTAAAGCTAAACGGAGGTGTCAAAAGGGCTTTCTTTATTTTTTGGCCTTATTGCCAATTCACGAACTCCGATCTACAAATTTGATTATCATTCGACATATCGTGCTAACGGATGGACGGACAGAGGGACAGACACATCAAAATTATACACTCGCTAGGAGCTCGTGAATAAGTGTAACTTCTATTTGCGGATCAAGCGAAGTCCGCCCACCAAGTCGAATCGAGTCGGTGAGGCAAATCGTCATCGGAGTGTTAAACTGGTCAGTCGAATGTGGCCGGTGGATCATGTGGTCTCTGAGGATTAAATCGGATCGGCAAGTAAAATTGGAGTGGGACGTGTCTTGAGTCAGACATTTTCCTTCTAAAAGGGAAGCGAATATGAGATCGTGGTCAAGTCACATCGTGGAATTGAGTCGGATACACGGATCAAGTCGACTTTGAAGGCTAAATCACATCAATCAATGGAAATGCGTTCACAGATCCTTGTCAATCCAAGTCGAGTTTATCTTGATTCGGGGGTTAGATGGGGTCTGTTTTGTAACTGAAGGGTCAGAGTAACATCGGCGAGATTATTACTTTTTGGCGGATCAATTTTACCAAGTTGAGTCGGCGAAACAAATTGGATGCAGGATTTACATTCGATCGATAAAAAACCGAACGCAAAGTTGTCGTTGGGCCAGTCGGGTGTGGTCGTTTAAGAATTAGTTCTGTATGAGCCCCAGAAGATCGCTGCTTTAATCCGTGGATCACATTAAGTCCAGGGATCAAGTCGAATCAGGTCGGGCTTGAGAATTAAATTGGATCGGCAACTAAAATCGGGTACGTGGATCTAGTCTATCGGCCTGTGTCGGTGTTCAATCGGTTTGACCAGTCTGGTTTCTTAAATGTCAGTTTGATCTGATCGTGGAGATTATTTCTATTTGCGAGTAAATTCAAATCTAAGAATTAAGTCGACTCGGATCGAGGAGTCATGACAGGTACAGCCGGGTACACTGGCCGCTTAAAGGACACTCAAAATCTTCGCGTGTGAGAATCCTGACCTCTTTTCTCTGAAGGAAGAGAATAACCTCGCCTATACGTGCTTAGATAAAACTAAGTTGACGAGTCGGGCCAGAGGATTAAACAGTATTGGCAAATAAAACCTGGTCCAATAATCTCGTTGGATTCGTAGATCAGTCGGGTTCACGTGTCGAGTCGGTTAATCGACCCCGCGCGTGGGAGACGGATGGAATAGTTCCAGGTCTGGATCGAAAAGTAAAAACGGACACGGATCGTGGCTTGCCGAATCTGCACCTACGAACATCGTAACTTTTTTCACCTGTTCGTGATCGTTTCTGGGTGTCTGCAAAAGCCCAAGGATCTGGTCATGTCGGCAAGTAAAATCGCATCTCGTCAGGCCACAAGGGCCAGTCAGGTTTGCAAGTCAGCTTCCTTTTTTTTAAAATTGGGAATGAGGAAATGCCTGCTGCACCCCCTGCTGTAGCGTAATGGCGTGCCTCTATCCAGGGGGAGTGTGGGGCTTGCACCCACTGAAACCCTTCTCCCAGTTCCCCAACGTAGCGGGTATCACCAATTGTATTCTTCCGCTCGTGTGGGGGGGGGGGCTGCCTTACTGTTCTCTTCTCCTGGCCTCTATTTCTCTCGTCCTTATGACCGGCGTGATGAAATTATCAATTTTCTTCCAGCTGCTCTCTCTACCGTCTATAACACTGTCTTCCTCTATTGGATCCCATCTCTGACACTCTAGTACCGCGTGTCCTGGTGAGTCTCTCCCTCCGCAGTCCTCACATGTGTCGTCTTGACACTTTTTGATCCTATGAAGGTATGGTGCGTTTACACCATGTCCGGTCAGGAACTGTGTTAGGTGGAAATGTACTTCCCCATGTTTCCTCTTATGCCATTTTTGGACGTCTGGGATTAGCCTACTAGTCCAGGATTTCCTATTTCTCCACTCCTCCTGCCATCGGGCCAAGGTCTCTTCTCTAGTGCCCCCTTCTGCTCTCATCTCAGCTTGGATGTGTAGCGGTATTTCGCCCGCCACGACGCAAAGGTCTTTATTGATTTCTGTTCGATATGCCGAGACTATTTTCAGGGTCATTATTCTCTTGACCTTCTCCAGGTTTTCCTTACGATCCTCAGCTTAGCCGCTTTTCCCCACACTTCCACTCCGTATAGTATGGCGTTGGTAACCGCAGTGCTAATGACTCTTCTCTTGCCTGCGCTTGGCCCCCCTACGTTTCTAAACAGGCATTGTAACTTCTTCGCCATGGCCTTGGATTTTTCGGCCCGATTTCTTATATGATTGACAAATTTTAAACTGCTGTCTATCGAGACGCCTAGAATCTCTATTTCCCGCTCCACCTGCACGTCTACGCCCCCAATCCTCACGGCTTCCTGGGGTATTTTCCGTCTCCCTACTATAGCCGCCGCCTTAGACTTTTCCCTCACTAGCTTTAACTTGTTCAAGCTCATCCACGTGTCTATTGCTTCTACGGTGGTGTCAATTCGTCGCTTCGCCTCCTCCAGTTTCCTGTCCGTAGCCACTATGGTGAGGTCATCCGCGAAGGCGACTATTTTGACCTTCCTCGGCACCCTCATGCTCACTACTTCATCATACACAATGTTCCACAGCAGGAGTCCCAGTACTGAACCCTGCGGAACGCCTCCATCAACTTCTACATGACATGTATTTCCCGAGGGTAGCCTCACCTTTACTGTCCGATCTGTTAGATAAGTATAAATAAGTTTAACCATTAACTTCGGAGCTCCCGTACTCTCTACGGCCCCCACTATCACTTCCGTGGGCATACTATTAAACGCATTCTGGACGTCTAGGGATGCCATTAACACCACCTCCCTGGTCCGCCACGTTCCGCCTTGGCCGTCCTGGCAGTCTCTACGAGGCTTCCTTTGTTTCTCTCCCTTTCACGAAGCCATATTGGTTTGGGGAGGCATTCCATATAGATTTTATTCGTGCCGCAACTACCCTCTCGAATAGCTTCCCCAGGCGACTCAATAATGCTATTGCTCGAAAATTTCCCCAGTCTTTCTTTGGGATCAGGACAACGTCTGCCTTCTTCCACATTTGCGGGTACTCCCCTTCTCTCATAACTGTATCGAAGGCGGTGGTCAACAACTCGGGGTCTTTCTTGGCCACCAGAGCCACGTAATCCGCGGGAAATCCGTCCGCCCTGGAGCTTTTTTCCTTGGCATCATCTTCGCTGCCTCCATGATCTCGTTTTGGTCGACTTTTTTTGGGGTCTGTAGATCCTCCATCGTCATCCGCCATTCCGGTTTTATTCTTAGTGGAAAAAGTGTCTGGAGCTGTTCCTCGATTTAGGTAAAACTCCAATGGAAACAACAGCAGCGAAGCTATGGAATGGCTACAAAAGGTGAATACCAGCGGAATGCTACACAACTGACCAGAAGAACTAAATTGTAAACTGCAAGAATCCACTTAATGTGGCGATTAGGGATTGGTTTCACGACTTAGAAGGGTGAAAATCCGTTCGTGGCCAGAATTTGAATTCGAGTTCAAGGCAACTTTTGTCTTACGTGAAAGTGTGACAGTCTGGAGAAACGAGTACAAACACAATGTGAAGATGTTGAAGTGTATTTCCATGAAAGATTGTACAACGCGTTAAATTTAATTTTCAGCGAATGTAAAGAGCAAATTGTGTCAGGATTGACACAGAAAATTCCGGGTTTAATGGTCAAGGAACATAGCGATGCCAATGATATATTGCATGATATCGTACTCCTGCAATGAGTAACACGAACCGGCGAGATATAAAAAAGGTGGCAAACCGAAACCAGCAGTGCGATGTTTCAATTGTGCGTCCGAAGGACATTACGCCAATGAATGTCCGCGTCCGAGAGATTATAATGCGGGTTATAACCGGGTCATACAAAGGAGAACTGCACGATACGGAACCGACTGGTAATGAGCACACCTAAAAATAAACTTGAATTTGAAAAAAAATTGAATAATTTCAAGCAAATCTCTCAATAATGAATGCTTCAGGTTTCTTTGGTACCACTATTTCAACCCCTCCGGTTCTCACAATTAAATTTGTTCAAGATATAACGGTTTTCACCTCCTTTGATGCCGATTTCTATTATTTGGTTGCAATTTTGACAGCTCTTTTTTTAAACAGAGAAACCACGAGTCCCGAGCATTGTCTTTACAAGACACATCAAGCAACGATAATCATAAAATGGCATTTCATTTTTGCTAGCTTGCACGAACCCGTGTGGAATGGTTTTCAGACACCTTCTGTAGTAGCATACGTTCACCATTCCTATAGTAACACGGTTTCTCCGTTTAGGACTGGATCTGATGATCGAAAGCAACGAAGACTTTATCGCGAATGAAATAGAAAAGACAAAAAGAAAGCTAAGAGACATATCCTCAGCGTTAGAAACTCAGCAACAACTGTTGCGCCTAATTGTGCAAGTAAGTACATCACAAAGTATGCAAAAAATGTGTACGTTTCTTTGTTGCAGAAGATGGAGATAAAAACTGAAGCGGACGATGTCGACGAGGGCGTCTCGCCGAATGAAATTACTCAATCGGCAGGGTCGGGCAAATGGACATCTCCAAATATACGTAAAAAGCTACGGACGGCGTTGAGTTTTAATAAACCGTCGCCCTAGGATCTTTATATGTTTGTAACTCACTAGGTATATTAGAAATGGATCTCTATATTTTTGGGCAGAAATTATATTTTGTAAGAAATTGGAAAGCGACTTAGCGTCGTAACATGTTTGTATGTTCCCTTTGAAACTGTCTGTGGTACCTAAATGTTTAAATTTTTTAAATGTAATAAAAAAATATGAAGAATTGTGCTTCGTTTGTATATACTCTTATAACTAGCTTGCCCGTCCTGTGGCGTCAGATCTTAAAACTCGATCTGCATTGTGTTGCTTTTATAGAAACGTGTCCATTTTTATCGAGGATGTTCCTGCTAAGTAAATACAGCAGCGGGAGTAGTTATCGGAAAAATATAAGATGGATATCGGACTACCCGTCTTTTAAGCGCGCACATTTTGAACGCCGTCTGCCGGTTTTTTCTACAACTCATTAACCATGAGCATTCAAACTTCAATACTCATTAATTCAAGTAACCCCTAGTCTAATTGGAATTTTTCGACGCAACAACTGTTGTTGATATCTACACCTCGGCATGTCTGCAAGACTGATAACGAGTAAACAAATCGATTTGTAACTCATTTCTATCCTGGTTTTTTATTGGAACAGAGTATTTATCAAGTACAAAAGTTTAATGCTTGTTTAGTCCGATACACTTAACATAAAATATATATGTTACAATACAGCCATTTTGGCTAACATCAACGAACGTACATTTTACAATACGAACATAAGCGACATCTATGATGCCTATAACCATAACGTCAATGTTTTAAATCTGGTTATACAAGATGCTTCAACACTTCCCCTGATTTAAAACATTACAAAATATAAATTAACATAATTTAAATTTGAAGTCCTAACCCTCGTGAACACCAGTTGTGTTTTTCTCTCGGTAGTGATTTTGTTAATATATCAGCGACCATTTCTTCTGTGTTGATTTTGTGAATTTCGATTTCCTTTTGGGCAACTGCTTCACGGGTAAAATGGTGTTGAATGTCAATGTGTTTGGTTCTGGCGTGAAACACACTGTTCTTACTCAAGTCAATAGCACCTTTATTATCACAATAAATTTTGATGGGGTCGTCACAGTTTGGGAGTTGCAATTCTCGTAGAAGCCTTCGTAACCATATGGCTTCTTTCGTTGCCTGGGCCAGCGCCATATATTCCGCTTCGGTTGTAGAGCACGCTACAGTTGGTTGCTTTTTGCTTTGCCATGTAACTGCGCCACCAGCAAGTAAAAATGTGAATCCCGTTGTGGATTTCCTATCGTCAGGGCATCCAGCAAAGTTTGAATCACAGTATCCAATAATTTGCGGGTTTCCAGAGGATGAATACTTCAATGTTGCTCCTGTGGTGCCACGCAGATACCTCATAACACGCTTTACGGCTGTCCAGTGATTTGGACCGGAATTTGAGCAATATTGGCATAAAACGCCTATGACGTATGCCAGGTCTGGTCTAGTAGCCCTCGTAGCATACAGTAATTTGCCAACAGCACTCTGGTAGACAGAAATTTCAGCTTCTTTTCGCTTGTTATTTTCTGAAACTTTGCAAATTTTGTTATTAACATCATTAGGAATACAAACAGGTTTACAATCATGCATGTTAAATTTTCTTAAAATAGTTTCAACATAATTAGATTGTTTTAACAATGTAACACCTTTATCTCTATCACGTTGAATTTCAATGCCAAACAATATTGCATTTTACCAAGATATTTCATTTCAAACATTTGCATCAATTGTTGTTTAGTCAAATCTATTAGTTTTATAGAATTTGATAACAATATGAAATCGTCAACATAAACTGCTATTACAACAATTTTGGAATTTGAAAATCTGTAATAAACACAACAATCAAAAGTTGAACAATTGAAACCAATTTCTTTAAGTTCATTGTCTAACTTTTTATACCACGCACGTCCTGATTGTTTTAATCCATTTACAGCTTTTTGAAGTCGACAAACGAGTTTACTTTCACTTCCCCTTTCATTGGAGACTTCCAAACCTTCAGGAATTGTCATATAAATTTCCTCTTCAATTGTTCCTTGTAGAAAAGCAACAACTGCATCCAGGTGATGAATGTCCCAATTGTAATGTCGCTATTGCTAACAAAATACGTAAAGTTTCATAACGAACAACAGGTGAAAATGTTTCAGTGTAATCTAGTCCCTCCTTTTACGAATATCCTTTGGCAACAAGTCGAGCCTTATAACGATTAAGAGTTCCATCGGAATTACATTTCAGCTTAAAAATCCACTTTGACTTAATTGGAATTCGATTTTCTGGTAATTCGGTAACTGTCCAAGTACGATTTCGTTCATGAGCTTGCAATTCTTCTTCAATTGCCCCTTTCCATTTGTCAGCATCAGGTCTACTCAATGCTTCTTGTAGGTTGAGAGGAGCATCTAAAAATTCTTCCTCAGTATTACTTATAGCAACTTGGCATCGGTGCATTTTGGGAATTTCGACTTCACAATCATCGTAACGAGAAGGTAGACGAATTTGACGGATTGTCCTTCGTGACGTTTCCGGAATTGACGCTTCAGCTTCTACTCGTACTTCAGATTCGGTTTCCTTTTCAACTTCGTGAACTTCGGGCTGTACTATCCTACTAGTGGTACTCGTGCAAGTTGTATCATCTTCGTAAAATGTAGAATTGCCCATCTTTACGGGAATTATTTCATTTTCAACTTCGTTTTTGAAATTTTCTATGAAGATTACATCTCGAGCTTCAGTAACTTTGTGTGTGACAGGATCTATCAGCCGATACCCTTTACTGGTTACACTATAGCCAACAAAAATCTTTTCTTCAGATTTATCGTCAAGTTTAGAACGATTTGCTTTGGGTATGTGCGTAAATGCACGACATCCAAATGTTCGCATATGACTTAAATCAGGCTTTTCGCCCGTCCACGCTTTAAATGGTGTCATGTGTGAAACAGCAATTGTTGGACTACGGTTTTTACAATAATTTGCGGTACAAACAGCTTCCGCCCAATATGATTTGTCGAGGTTTGCTTCCGTTAACATAGCCCGTGCCTTTTCGATTAGTGTACGATTGCAGCGTTCGGCTACTCCATTCTGCTCAGGGGTGTGAGCAATTGTTAATTGATGATGGATTCCTGTTTCACTAAAAAATGTCTCTAATTGTTTGTTAACGTACTCACCGCCACGATCCGAACGTATAGCTTTTATTCGTTTACCGGTTTGATTTTCAATGTATGTACGAAATTCTGAAAGTTTAGTAAACACTTCATTTTTAGTTTTTAGAAACGATACAAATGTCATTCGCGTGTAATCGTCAATAAGAGTAAGTACATACCGCGCACCTCCTATCGAAGGAACGTTCATTGGCCCGCACAGATCGGAATGCAGTAGTTCAAGCACCTCTGTTGCCCGATGTACTTTCTTCTGTGGAAAAGGCAATCGATGTTGTTTACCCTTAATACATGAAACACACGCTTCCATTGTTCCTGAGTATTCTAAACCTTGTACCATGTTGCGTAAACGATCAAGTCCGCCACAACTTAAATGTGCAAGCCGTCGATGCCAGAGCATAATCGGATTAACGGACGATACTGCTAATGCGTTTAATTTGACGGTATCTAAAAAATATAAGTTGTCTCCATGAGCTGTACCTGTGGCGACAATTTTTCCTGTTGCCTTTTGTACCATTTTACATTCATGAGCATCGAAGATCGTAATTATACCTTTATTTCTAGCCAGGTATTTTACTGAAATCAGATTTGTGGTTAGTTCGGGTACATACAGAACATTGTTGATTGTTAATTCAACCATGCAGTTATCTCTTGAAATGTTAACTAAAACAGAACCTTTGCCTACACTCGCAATTGTAGCGCCGCCAGTTTTTACTGGACACTTGGGTTCTTCTTGGTAATTATGCAACCACTCTTGATGGGATGTCATGTGCATATCGGCACCGGAGTCGATGATCCAAGGTTCACTGCTCGTTCCGCGTTCAGTACTCGATGAAGATGAAGCTATCCATGCCTCCCTTACTTTAATGGTTGATGCACTTCCAGATGAGCCTCTTTTACTTCCTTGTGTACTTGCATTGGTCTGCTTCGCTCCCGTTGCCCCTTTGTTTGGACAAAATTTTGCCTTATGCCCGAATGCTTTACAATAATTGCATTTCCCTTTAAAAGTATAGCCTTTGGTTGTCGTATTACCCCTCGTTTTCATAATTAAAGCATTTTGCGATGGTGGTGTCATCTTCACATATTCAGCTTGCAGTTTTTCACATACCAGGTCCGTTGTTAATTCCATAACGCTGTTTTCTAGTGCCATTGTCAAAGGACGAAAGTATTCAGGCAAATTGGTGAGTATATTGGCCGCAACCGCTTGATCTGGATAAGCAGGTAAAATTGCCCTCATTTTACTACCAATTGTCTTCATTTTCTCTAAGTATTCTGCCATGTCTTTGCAATTTTCAAATCTTGTTGCAAACATTTCTTGATTCAATGAAATAAAACGGTTAGGATTAGTGTCGGAATATAATTTGTTGAGTCGTTCCCACATGTCCTTAGCTTTTTCACAATGTTGAATATCTTTAATTATGTGACTCTCTACACTACTAACTATTGCAGATCTTGCTCGTTTGTCTTTGACATGATCATCAACAGTGCCTAGACAAAGTTCAAATAAATCACGATCCTCTAAGTGGTACCTTAATGTAAATTTCCACTCGTTGAAATTTTTACGACCTGTTAATTTGTCAAACGTGGCTGGAACTGTATTCGGCAGGTGAATTGTTGTTGTCATTGCTGTTACGCCAGCTTCGTTAGTACGTTGTTGCAGGTTATCGCTAGGCATTTTAACGCTTGGACTCCCTTTTAACTACGCCAAAAAAAAATTGGATCTACACGTGTTCTTGAATTTGCACTTGTGACTACTCTCAGCATTTATTCAACTTTTTATTTTTCTCAAACCCTGGGCCCATAACCTATTGGAACAGAGTATTTATCAAGTACAAAAGTTTAATGCTTGTTTAGTCCGATACACTTAACATAAAATATAATGTTACAATACAGCCATTTTGGCTAACATCAACGAACGAACATTTACAATACAAACATGAGCGACATCTATGATGCCTATAACCATAACGTCAATGTTTTAAATCTGGTTATACAAGA